TAAGCAATCATGTTATGTAATGACAGGGGCAGAGAGAAGAAATCAAATTACAAACAGTGAGTTACCAGGGAAAGTGGGACAACAGCCAGACTCAAAGAGCAATACAAAGCAAAACTATTTCAAAAAAGGTACCAAATACATACTCAACAGGGAAAAGCTTGACATGAATATCTCCCATGCTTGTGTGGATAATGGCACTATCAGAAACCCTTTTGGGACCTTCAGCTTGAGTGGCTGCCATGACCTCTTCTTTAGATGGCTTCTCATTAAATACATCTCTGTCAGAATCTGCACTCTTTGTATCTTCTGGTTCACGTTTAGTAAACTGAAAAACAAAAGAAAGGTTGCTACTTATATTTTTTTGCTTTTAGATACCATAGAATGCTTCCCCACTAAAAATCAATCAGAAAGATATTATAAAATACTATCTTCTAACATTTCAGTATCTGTGAAATAAAAAGACTCTGAGGCTACATCTAGACAGCATCCCCCTGTCGGCAGAGGAATGCAGATTAGGCACGTCGAAATTGCTAATGAAGCGGGGATTTAAATATCCGGTGCTTCATTAACATAAACATGGCCGCCACTTTTTTTCAACACGGAGCTTTTTCGAAAAAAAGCGGCAGTCTAGATGTGGGTCTGTCAAAAAATAAACCCTTTTCTGAAAGATTCTGTAGGCCTCAAAAAATGAGGTTTACAGGATCTTTTGAAAAAGGGCTTATTTTTCGACAGATCCGTGTCTAGACTGCCACTTTTTTCAAAAAAGCTCCATGTAGAAAAAAGTGGCAGCCATGTTTATGCTAATGAAGCACAGGATATTTAAATCCCCGCTTCATTAGCAATTTCGACATGCCTAATCTACATCCCTCTGTCGACAGAGAGGTGTAGTCTAGACACACCCTGACTGTCCTTACACCTACAAATGAATGGGTCACAATCTTCAGTACATATTTGGAAACTGAAGTAGTCCTTTGTAAGATCTCTTCCTCCTACCTTTACATACTTTTTTTTTTAAAAGGAAATAATATACAATGTGTATATGTGAAGTATGTTCATGCTCAGACAATGACCTTTCTGCTAGGATCAGGTGGAGTTGGACACATCTCTTGGTTTCATTACAGAGGCACAGTAAGTTCTCCTATTTTGTATTCATACTAATATAGTAATATTAGCAGATGTACCTGCCATTGCTCAGGTCTGTAACTGAAGGAATTTTTTTCAGTAAATGAAAAATGTGTTATTTCAACTATTGTATTTTTCAAAAATGAAGGCTGGAGTGAGAGTTCAGAGGGTAAGGAAGGGCAGGAGGCTAAGGGTAGAGGGGTGGGAGGTATCAGGGAGGTTCAGGGCAGGGGGGAGGGAGTGCTGAAGTCAAGGCAAGTTGGAGGTGCACGATTCAAGGCAGGTGCTGGGAGTTGGGAGGGAGGAGGCAGCTTACTAGGTCGACCTGTGGTGGCAAGGGTGGTGCTGCTCTGGCAGCGACTTCTCCGAGGGAGCTGGATCAATGCTCCTCTGCCAGCGACCTCCTCCCAGTTGCCCTTCCCCGTGATCTACATGCTATGTTTGGGAGGGACCAGGCTCTGGAGGCTACTGACCCCTTCAACTCCCCTGCCCCGGCTATGGCCTGTAGGCTGTCTGGGGTGGACCAGGTTGCAGAGGTTGCCACCCGCTCAAGCGCCTTCCTCACTTACCACTGCGGCCTGCAGGCCGTCTGGGAAGGGGACAAACTCTGGTGACTGCTCCCTGCTGCAGCTGCAAATTGTTTGAGGGGAGGTCATGGGCCGTGAGCTTCACTCCTTCAGCGGCCAGCCCCTGACTGCAGGCTGTTGGGAGGAGTGAGGTTCTGGGGATTTCCTCTCCTCAAGTTACCCCTCCATCATCTGCAGCTTCTCCACGGGGGAGTAAAGGAGAGACAGGCTCTGGGGGCTATGCCCACTAGTGATGCTGAATTGCGGTTATCAGACTAATCATGTAGTCAATACAATTTGTAAGGACAGCTTTGCAGAGCTGCAGTGGGGGTAGCTCCCAGAGCTGCCTGGAGCCAGGACTGAGTCACCTGCACTGTGGCTCTTCATTTTCAATTTAGTAAGAGCCACCAGGCCCTTACCACATTTAAAATGCAGTGGCGCAGTGTCACGGACCAGCGCAAGCCATGACTGCTTGGTCCCAGCTCATGCTGAGTACAACAGCTCCTGTTTGCTGTGGCCAGCCCTGTCTGCCATGAAAAGGGGCCGCTGCTGGAGCATTACTGGTACTTTCCATTTTCCAGGCACAACCAAATCCTGACCTTGGTTTAAGTTATGATAAGAGGAAGCTGCAAACCAAATTTGGTGGTCCTAGCTCTTATGGTTTAGGAGGAGTTCTTGAACAAACACACTCTGAATTAGTGTCTTTTTATCATATATATATATTTTTAAAGAGCCATTTCTAGCCACAACAATGAAATCCACAGACTAGTCTTCAAAAGGCAGTAGACAAAACTAGTTAGAGAAGATACACAATAAAGATCCAATAGTTGAGGAGTGTCAGCATAGAGGATCAAATGTGTACTTTATAAAGTCTTAGATGTTTTTCCAGTCACTAAAATACACTGTACACCTTCTGTATGTTTGATAATCTCAAAGGTGCTGGATCCTGAGCAACTTTTCTTCTTGGTCTGCATTTTTGAGTTGTGTGCTTAATTACTATAGCTGCCTTCTTACAGTATAGAGTATGCACACTTGAAGCTGTATCGTAACAATTATGTTTAATCACAAGTACTAGTTAAGTAAGGGGCAGTCAGACTTCTGCAACAAAATTGTTACTTGTCTATACAGTGCTTAGTACAGGGATCTCAAACTCCCAGCCTGCAGGCAATCCCTGGATGGAACACCTGTGCAATCTTGCCTAGGAGTACTGACCCCCACCAGGGGGCATGTTGGCCTCCCAAGCCTTGCCTCTTCCCACCACTGCCCTGGTCCCTGACCCCCAAGGGATGCAGTCTCAGAGCTTACCGGGGGGGGCCTGATGCTGGGCAGCAGCAGCGATCAGGACCCCTGCTCTCTCTGCAGCAGCAGAAATTGCAGAGCCTGTCCCCTGCTGCTGCGTAGCACCAGACACCCCCCACCTGGTGATCCTTAAGGCTGCATCCTGCCCCACCCCATACTCCAGAGACAGACTGTGCAATTCCTCCGGCTGAGTCTGAGACCCCTAGTTTAGCACAAATTAATCCTGATCTTTCATTGGTGTTCCCAGCCACTATTAAATAATGACATGGTTATATATAAATATAGCTATAAAAATCCTAATTGCAAAAAGAGGAGCACATATTTTAAGATATACAAGTAGACCAAGATTCACAATTGCCTGACCAACTCAGTAAAAACGGAAGGTCCATAAAGCTACTCATAGATATAGCTAAGCTAAAAATTCTGAAATATTGTTGCAATTTAAGGAAACTTGTCTGGGAAAGTTGTTTTACTGCCAAAATTTAAGACAAAAAGCATTAAAAAGTATGGGAGAAGAGGTTTAAAAAACAAATACAAGCACACAAAAAGGTGAATTCAAGATTTAAATTGTTCCAACAGAAACCATACATACCATGTAAAACCTGTTCTTTTTGAAAGATGTGCAGACAATTGTTGGATCTGCCTGGATATTCTGAAGAACAGGGTTTTCAGATGCTTTCATCTCTATAGTGGTTGCAGCACGATGTTTCTTTGCTACACCTTGGAACAAAGCCAGTTGCATTACCCTGATATTTTCTTGTTTGCCTAAGATACGAACACACCTATTGTACATGATGTTTAAAAACAAAAACAAAAAGGTAAGATTACCATTAAACTCTCTCCCCCCCAGCCATAACTAGATTCCTAGAAGGATTCAGGAAACTCTGTACCTAATCTGATCAAATATGTACTTATATGTGTATCTATAGACAGAGAGGCAGGGGTTGGAAGGGAATGCTATTACAAGTTTACTTACAATGCTTCCCCTTTTCAAAATTGCTATTTAAAAAACAAACAAACAAACAACCAAAAAAAAACCCTATACACCACTACTTAGAATTCCCTACCCTAAAAATCCCAGCCAATTGATCCTCATTATTCTACAGCAGGGATGGCCAACCCATTTAACAGAGCGCGCCAAAACAGCGGCGGAAAAAATGCAAAGAGCCACACCAGAATTGTCAAGTCCCTCCCCCCCAAAAAAAACCATGAAACAAAAAAAAATAATTAAAAAAACTTTTTTTTAAAGGAGGCTGCCTCTTTAAGATGGCCATCATCTTGGGTGCCATTTTTAAAACCCCGCAGCTCCAACCTGGTAAGCACAGGGAAGCTGAGGGAAGCCGGCGAGAGCCGTTGGAGGGAGTGGGGGACGCAGGAGCAGCTTCCCAAACCGCACTTTTGGGGGGCAAGAGCTGCAGATTGGCCAAGGCTGTTCTACAGTATAGAATTTTAAACAAAATGTTCATTAACTTTTCATTAGTGTGTCATATTGTATTTGCTAGTTGCCAGAAATGAACTGTCTGTACAAAATACTTATTTCAATTATTTTTATGAATATCTTCTCTCAGTTTATAAGTTCTATGCCACAAAATTCAGTATTTGGCAAATTAACAGTTTATTTTCTGATTAATTTAAACCAATGACCTCTTCAAGAAATAGATCTGTTGACTTGCAAAATTTTAAATGGAACAAGAATGTTTAAAAAAAAATGCTGAAATCAGACTTTGAGAGACTAACCATTATGTGTAGGTGCATAAACACAGTTGGAATAAGACTTACCGGTTAGTTTCGACATTTATGACCTTAATACCCAGCATTGTTCCATAGAGCACAAAGTGTCCAGTTTCATCAAAAATTATGTTAATTAACCTGACTGCATCCACCTTCTCCAACTCACGCTCAACAGCCATACGTCGGCCAAACTCCATGTCTGGCAGCTGTTGTCTCATCTGTTGCAGCTCAGTAAACATCTACAGAGACAAGACAATCACCAATGGCACAGATGCAAAATAATGTTCTGATTTAGCAAAGTACTGAAACACATGCGTAACTTTAATTTCAGTAGGATTACTCAACTACTCACATGTTTAAATTAGGGATGAGAATGGTTAACCAGTTAGCCTTACCCGTAATGGGTGAGATTTACCAGTTCTAATTAATTGGCGGGGGGCTGGAGCACCATCGTGCTCTCCTCCCCACCTTAAATTGGTTACATTTAACCAATTAAAAGGGATTTTACATCCCTACTTTCAGTAAGTAGTTGAGTGATTCAAGTATTTCCTTTAGCTATAGCACAAACTGAAATATACACAATTAGAATTATTTTTCTTTCAACTATCAAAATCTGACCATAGGCAAAAAATAAAAAGTAAGCTTACTAAACAAATCAAACTTTAAAAAGATTATTTTTCCCCTGATTTTGATTAGACCAGATATTTTCCCAAATGTCTTCTAGCAAATGGGTAATCTAGCTGCACAAAAATTATGAAATTTTCTAAATGAAAAACAGCAATTAAATTTCTAAGTATATTCAGCACTGATTAATGTGTAGAAGTTAGAGACACTTGAAGTGTAAGATTAAAAGACATGAATATAGAAAAACCCTCCTTTGTAAGTTAAGTAATAAAATCCACCTTTACAAAAATTAGTGATAAAGGGGTTAAAGGTACTGATAAGTCAATTAATATATATTCCCCACCCCCCCCAAAATGAACAGAAAGCAGAAGAAAAACTGAACTCACACTGAGGGATTCATCAAAGACTCTCATAAGCTTTCCAGTCAAAAACCTGAAAATTCTAACTTTTCTATCGGAACCAATAGTGGCCATTTTCTTGCCATCAGGTGAGAAACATATACTGGATGGGTAAGCTTTACATTTAGCAAATTCATATAAATCTGTGTCTGTTTTATACTCCCAGTTCACATTTTTGGGGAATTTATATTCATGAGGAGGCCCAGTCCAGTATTCAATCATTCCAGACTTGTCAGATGACACTACTACTTTGTACGTGGGGTTTAGCCGTATCTGAGTAAGAGGAGATGAATGGAGTTTATCAAAAACATGAAGAGGCTGGTTATTTCCTCGACCGTCATATATGAATATCTTTCCTGTGCTCTTCTCAGAAGATGCAACAGAAGATATGGCATCTCCAGGGCAGTATATCCATTCACATTGGCCAGGGTAGTAGCTGGAACAGAAAGTGGATGGAAAAAAGAAATAAATAAGCAGGCCTTGATTTATCTAGATATGCATAATAATTTAGTAATTAGAAAAAATTTGTGACATAGTATCTTTAACTAGTCTTATGAACGATATTACCTCACTCTTGTTTTGCTAATATTCTGGAAGGAACACAGCTACATCAATATTACACACAACACTTTGCTACACATTTGTCTATGCAATGACTACATTTTTGTTCAGTATTATTTTCAGAGAGATCAGTAATTTGATAGTCCAGGACATAGGTAGCAAGTTACCTCCCTGACTTCAAGTTAACTAAACTAATCAATTTGAAATCAAATATAGGAGTCAATTTCGGGGTAGAAGTGTTATTTATTAGCTCTGATAATTATTTGGTCTATGAAAATTCAGTGGCGTATTGTGAAAGGAAAGTACCTTTTAGTAGCCAACCCCATAAATCATAGAATACTAGAACTGGCAGGGACCTCAAGAGGTCATCAAGTCTAGTCCCTGGCCTCACGGTAGGACCAAGCACCATCTGATCATCCCTGACAGACGTTTATCTAACCTACTCTTAAATATCTCCTGTAAGGAAAATTCCACAACCTCCCTAGGCAATTTATTTTAGTGTTCAACCACACAGTTAGGAAGTTTTTCCTTATGTCCAACCTAAACTTCCTTTGTGAAATTTAAGCCCATTGCTTCTTGTCCTATCATCAGAGGTCAAGGAGAACAATTTTTCTGCCTCTTCCCTGTAGCAGTTTCCAAGTACCTAAAAGGATGCTATCATGTCCCCTCTCAATCTTCTCTCTTCCAAACTAAACAAACCCAGTTCTTTCAGTCTTCCTTCATACATCATGTCTTCTAGAATTTCAATCATTTTTGTTGCTCTTCTCTGGACCCTCTCCAATTTCTCTACATCTTTCTTGAAATGTGGTGCCTAGAACTAGACACAGTACTCCAACTCAAGCCTAATCAGTGCAGAGAAGAGTGGAAGAATTACTTCTTGTGTCTTGCTCACAATACATCCGTTAATGCATCCCAGAATCATGTTTGATTTTTCTGCTACAGTGTCACACTGCTTACTCATATTTAGCTTGTGGTTCACTATAACCGCTAGATCCCTTTCTGCAGTACTCCTTCCAGGTGGACCAGTTACCCAATCTCTTCTTTTCCACATGGCTCCACAAAGCAGTTTTGACAATAAGCGAGAGTACAGAAGGTAAATGTGGAAAAACAAAAAAGGGTGGTGATCTACTACAATATCTATTACCACAAAACTTCTATTATTCAGTGGCATTTTTTTCTCTATTTTGAAACTGCTCCTCAGATTCTGATGCAACTGAAGACAAAGGGAATTTCATTATCAAATTTAATAGAAGCAGGATTGAGTCCTGCAATAAAATCACCAGGACTATATTACAAATTGATTAATAAAGAGATCAAATAGATTATAATTGCTACAAACCCCCAGGACCAAATTATATCCCTCAAGAATTCTGAAATATTTTTAAATGAAATGGTTTAAGTTGCTACAAAAACATCCTAAAATGAACCAGAATAGCCAATGGTATGCTTATCTTTAAAAGGGGTGCTAACAGAAATCTTGGGGATAATAGACCAATGAGCATATTTCAGCATCAGGTAAGCTAGCAGAAACAACACTAAAACTAGAATTATGAAAATCAACAGTCAACATAATATAATACAAAGAAACCAGTACAGCCACAGGGAAAAAATGTGCTATTGTAGAATTCCTTGACCACTCAATTAACAAATACCTAAGAATTGATAGATAAAAGTATTTTGGACTTTCAAAATACTTTTGGTCATGATCTGTCAGAGATTAAAACCTGGTTAAGAAGCAGAAATCAAGTGAGTAGCTATCACAATGGCAGAACAGAGACCACACTGTGAGTGGCTCCCCAGTTAAAAATTAAAAATGGTAGCTCCTACCCTTTAACTGGTTGTGAGTGCACTGTTCAATATTAAGGTGCACTGTTCAATATTTAAGTAAGTAGTAAAAGGTAAGGTAAACTGACAATAGGATTAAAAAATTAAAATAACTACCCCAAATAGAAACATGACGTTAACTTCAGATATAACAGTAATAAGTGTGGTACAAAAAGGCCTTTGTAGATACAACACTTTCAGATTGAGAAATACTAAAGACCTGATAAGAACTTACTGTTAACAGAGCTTTTGTTTTTTTCATTGTTTTTACTCTTTTATCATGAGATAGGACTACTATCCTGTATCCTGTCATATGCCACGTGGCATATATCCTTGAACATCAGATGCATCTTATTACTGAAAAGTAGGGATGTGAAGAGATAACTGGTTACCCAACCCAGGAAGCATCACTCTTACCAGGAGCATCACCTTCTGTTGCCACTGGCAACCCCAGCCCCAGGAACAGGCCTGGGGGCTCCTGCTACCAGCAGTGGCAGCAGCAGCCTCAAGGCTAAGAGTCCGCTTAGTTGGTTAACCAGTTACATTTTAGGTTAATCTAGCATTTAACTGGTTAACTGATTAATTAGGATTTTACATTCCTATTGAAAAACATGAAAACTTTGCCTGCACACTGTTTACAGAAAGGAATTAGAATTATGTATATTGCAATTCTACATATATCAGGAAATCTCTGAGCTGATGGAGACATTTCTAATAGCACACATTCCCGTAAATCAGTTAAAATAGGGCTGATTGGATTTTGATTTTTTTTGCATAAAGTAATCAAACAGAATTTGGTTTAATTAACTTTTATTCAAAGTGCTCAAAACACAATCACCAAAAATATTTTTACGGAATGACATAACTTACCCAAGTTTCAGCATGTTGATCATATCAAAGTTCACTACATCAAATACCTTCATTGCTTTGTCATCCCCAACAGAACAGAATAATGCCCCTTCTGAACTAACTGCAATACTCTCAATGACCCCTGTTACAATAAACCCAATATAATATTAAAACATGTAAAAGACAGATACTTGGCATGCTTTGCTTGAAAACTGTATTTACCATTTTAAAGAAGGGATGTTCCAAATATCTGATACCAAGATTTTAGAACCTGCAATTGTTATATATAGTATCTGTATTTTAAAATTAGTACAGAATAAACAAGTTCTACATTGCATTATTCATGGCTTCATTGCATTGGAGTAATTAGTCACTGTACAGAGAATTAATGATTCAACATCAAATTAATATTTTTAAATTACTTCACTCATCCCACTTATCACGTGATGGGCTTTTGGGCTCAGAAACTATTAATATTTTTATATTGAAACATACCTGCTGAAGTTAATGGTAGCAATTAAACTTTTAGAAGAAATCTAAATGTTTTTTAAAAGCTGATTGGTGCATCTAATTGAAAATTGCTATTTTCAAGTTTTACTGTTACCATGAACAATACTGTAAAATTCTAAAAGTATAAATGAAGCACAGAAAATTATTTTAATAAATTGTTAAGAAACCTGTGAACAATACACATAACAAACATTCAAGTTTATTTCCACAGTTAGTCTTAAGCCCTCAGCATCTTACTAGCACCAGATTCTCCAGCTTTGGAGAATACCTGATGGAACAACTATTTACTATCTATATTCTATTTGTAATATGTAGTAATAGTTAAAAAAAAATTGTTTTCTATTACAAGCAAATCAAACAAATATGATGTCTTACCTAAATGGCTACGAAAATGTTTAACAAATTCAATCCCTTCTTCTACTTTCTTCCAGAATTTGACATGTCCATCATGGCTGGCAGTTATGATAAAATCTGTCCTGCAATGATAAATATATCAATTGATATGTTAGAAACTAAAGGGAAGAATCAATAATGGTGCACAAGATCAATTCACTAGTACAGCATAGCTATTGTGATGCATATGCATTTCCTCTTTTTCTTTCATTCAGAAAAGTACAACATGAATATATAATGCATTTGCAGCTATTGGTTAACCTTCCTTGCATATTAGTAAAATATTCTGTATATCTTACTATAAACAATTGTCAAAGTGTACAGTAGCAGTTTAACCTCAGTATTAATCGTTAAAAAGCAAGTTACAGATTGTACCTCCCTTAACTGGGACTCTTTGGTCTGGCAACATGTGGCTCTGCTGAACTACAGATGTTCTTGGACCACAGAGCCCAGGTACAGGAAAGTCTGGCTGCAGGGCTGGAGCACAGCCTTGTGCCGAGAGGTAGGCAGGGCAGCAGGGAGTTCTGGCCCCAGTGGCTGGGGGCTGGCCCCAGCTGCAGAGCTCTAGCCGCAGCAGCCACGGCCAGGCAGGCAGCAGCAGGACTGGGCTGGAGCCCTAGCTGAGGGCAGCAGTTCAGCATGGGCCAGGAGGGGAGAGACCTCCCCTGGTCCGGCAACTCTCGTTTGGGACTGGTCAGGTCCCAAGGGTGCTGTACCAGAGAGATCCAACCTGTATTACCTTCCCACACTCTGTAACTTGATCTGTAAAGAGACTACAACAACTTAAACATCACACTTCAGTCTGATTTTTTTATCCTAATATTGTTAGAAGTAACATGCAATTACAAGAAGTTAGAAACATTTCTTCGGTCTCTGAAGTTTTATTTACTTTATCCGTGCGATTGTATTTGACATATAACTTATATAGTTTGTTTCAGTACTTCATACAGAAATAGTGATGGCAAAAGTAGTTTAATAGGAAAATGGGATTTTAAAACCTCAAAAATAGGCTGGGGATTACATGATACTACACTTATGTAAAAAAGGGCTCAATTTAAAATTTGTTGGGTCTTTAATCAAACCAAACGTATTTGAATTAGCTCAGAAGAAGTTAAATTCCATATTCCAAAAACATCAGGTTCAATTAGTAAAGTTTCTATGAAAAAAACCCCTATCATATACACATACAAGTTTTGCAATTGTAAGACTGTTCAAAACAAAACACTCACTTAGTACACACTACATGTGTGATGACATCTCTGTGCATGTAACTGCGTTCATACATTGAAGCACTTGGAAGATTTTCAAGATAGACATGCTCAAATTCCAGAACTGAACAAAATAAGAGAAAAGTAGAAATTATTTTCTTTCAATAAATATCATATCACATCTTCAGCTCTCCATTATTAACAACTCTTGGTTTAATTTACCTGCTTTAGTTTTAATCAAAATCATTGGAGATATTTAAGAGCAGGTTAGATAAACATCTATCAGGTCTAGATGGTACTTGGTTCAGCCGTGAGGACTGGGGACTGGACTTGATGACCTCTCAAAGCCCCTTCCAGTTCTAGGATTCCATATCCTCATACTGTTCTTAGCCAATTCTACATATTTAAGACAAGACTTTACAGCACTATCATGAAATTCACCTGCTGGGGCCCAACATTTTCCCAATCGCCTTGTAAAATGACAGAACAAAGGAACCAATTTTATCTCCAAAAAACAGCACTCTCTGGTCTGGCAACATCTGTTGTCTAGCAGGGCCATGGATGCTCATGGACCAGAAAGCCTGGGATCCTAAAGGCAGGAGGGCCAGCTGGGTCGGGGCCTTAGGGTCAGCAGCCCAGTTGGCGGCAGTGCAAGACCAAAGCCGGAGCCCTGCGGCAGCGCAGGTCAAAGCCAGAGTCCCACGGTAGCACAGCACCAGAGTCCTCCAGCAGCTTCTAGGAGTGCAGGTCGGGGCCAGGTCCGAAGCCTGGCAGCAGTCCCGTGGACCACAGGCTGGAATTGAAGGCCCACAGCTATCCATTTGAGCATGGAGCCAGGGCACTGTGGCAGCCCCCGGGGGTGGGACTGCAGCCCACTGGAATGCAGGGCAAAGGCCAGAGCCCCTCAGCAGCCCTGGGAGCTCTGTGGGGCCGGATGCACGGGGCTCCAGCCTCTGCTGCTCAGGGAGACAGCAGATGGGCGAGCCAGTGCCCGGCGTGGCCCGCCGCCCAGCAGCAGGTGATGCACTTGGGAGCCTCAGGCATAAGACCTCACCTGAGCTGGCAAATTCTCTGCTTCCCCGATGGTGCCGGACCAGAGAGATCCAACCTGTATTTTTGTTATTTTTCGAGAGGACGAGCTACTCTTCATGCGCACGTGGGATCGCACATCAAGGCTGGAGCACAGACACGCTTGGGGGCAGTTTTTACAGTAAACCCTTAGAAATTGGGAGCCTCAGGCATAAGACCTCACCTGAGCTGGCAAATTCTCTGCTTCCCCGATGGTGCCGGACCAGAGAGATCCAACCTGTATTTTTGTTATTTTTCGAGAGGACGAGCTACTCTTCATGCGCACGTGGGATCGCACATCAAGGCTGGAGCACAGACACGCTTGGGGGCAGTTTTTACAGTAAACCCTTAGAAATGCCAACGGTGCGAGAGTCTTGCAGGCGGTTATCATCGGTCCGGCGACCAGCCCTCTGAGCGATCGCAGCGCCCGCCCGCCCGCCCAGACTGCCTCCATGCCCCGGCCGCGGCTCTCTTGCAGCGGGTTACCATCGGTCCGGCGACCGGCCCTCTGGGCGATCGCAGCGCCCGCCCGCCCGCCCAGACTGCCTCCATGCCCCGGCCGCGGCTCCCCGCCTTACCTCTCCTTTTTTTGACTTGAGCAGCCTCCCCCGGGAGGGGCCCAACCCACCGCTCCTCTCCCTCCGGCCCCTCGTCTTCATCCCCGCCTACGGTAGCTCTTGCTGCCTCCTCGAGCTTCCTCCTCTTGCGCGCCGAGTCCGCGGAGGCCATGTCAGTGCGCGTCACTCCCTGCGACACATGCGCGCGGCGGAAAGTGAAGCGGCGGCGCCTTCGGGCGTCATCCGCACACAACCAGTGAGAGCGGAGCGCGCGCAGAATTGACGGGCGTTGGAGCAGCTCTGACCGTCGGGAGGACTGGAGCTCGCCATGGTAACGGGCTGTTCCCCCCTTCCAAGGGCCCCCATCCCGAGTGTCAGCGCCGGCTGCGGGGGCTCCCTGGTAGCTCCCCCCAAGTCCCTAGGCGGCTCAGGGGCCGCTCTCCGGGAGAGCAGGCAGCCGCTCGCTAGCTCTGCTGTGCGGGGCGGGACCGGTTTCTTCCCGCCACACCGCTCTGCGTCGCCTGAGCTAATTCCCTGGGGCTGCCAAGGCGGCGTCGCCTCGCTTGCCCCTCTGACTCTGAAGCCCTTTTCTTCCCCATGCCCATGTGATGGTTAAACGCCGTGGGGGCAAAGGTGCGTGCTCTTGTGGCCATGCAAAGCAAACGGGGCCTTGGTTTTTACAGGGACAATCCATCCTCCCCACAATAAGTTGCACGAGCATTAAGCGTTTCTGTCTTGGAGGGCGATGGGGGGTTGGGCTCCTAGTGTTTCAAAACAAGAATCGCCAAACCTGGTTTTATGCAGTAATGACAAGTGTGCACATTTCATAAGTGGAGATAGAAGGTTTCTGTTTCCTTATCCAAAATGATTGCCCGGATATTGTTTTGGTTCCAGTACCTTTCTGAAGCTTCTGATTCATGTGCTTTTCTTACAGACTCTGTGCTCTTATCTATATCAACAAACTTTTTTCACAACCTCTTGTTAGGGATCAATATCTTTATTAAGTATTAACTAAGAAATCAACATTTATCACGTTTCCTAATTTAGACAAAATATTAAAGCTACCAAGAAGATAAAATACTGCAATATTTTAGCAAGTGAATATATTAGGGACACTATCAAATGTGTATTAGGGACACTAACAAATGTGTGTAAGTGTGTAACAACTGGATTTTTTTTATTGGTTATGCGTTTATATGCAGGGAAGCAAGCAGGAGCCGGTGCTTGCACAGAGCCAGCTTTTGAGCCCACTCCACTCCCCGTGCACGCTGGTTCCCACCTCCCCACCTCCTTTGCTGTCTCTCATATGGAGGCAGTAAGGGTGTGTGTGTGCGTTGTTACCTAGGGACCAGGGCAACTAAGAAAATAGAAATGAAAAAATGACCCTTTATATCGGGGGCTCCCTATTTCAGAGGATGCAGGCCCCTTTTCCCCGCATCTGTCATTGGTTGGAGTACCCCCTCAGTGCATCCTCCCAGTTTGATGTATGAATAAAGAAGAACACTCTAAAATAAGATCACAAATGTATTAGGGAATTAAATTACAATAATTGGGAAAATGGGGATTTCATATATGAACTAAAACAATAACAGATGATAGTAAGCATCCTTACTCAACTGTGACTAAATAGCAGTGTAGGGATTTCATGAGGGAGGCATGAAGCCTGGGCCCAAATGTTCCTGGTTGGTCAGGAGGAAAAGAAGAGAAGACAGGAAAGAACCCCAAGAAAGTAAACCCCTATTACATTCAGAGGTGTCGGTGGTATTAGGCTGGATGGTGCTGTGCTGCCAAAGCCTGGGACCTACTACCCTTGAACTAATTGAAAGCTCTCAGGGAGGAACTCCAAGTGAGATCCGTGCGAAGAACTTCTGTGATGGTTGGATCACTGATCATTGATGGTAGCTCTTCTCCCTTCCTTGTCACGGCTGTGGTGGTCTGATGCTGACAGGAGCATGGGTGGAAGAAGCAACACCCCTCAACAGCTGCACAGGGCCTTAAATTGCGTCTGTGGTGTGAAACCTTGAGGTGATTGAATGTTCTGAAAATCAGTTCTGGCTGGTAAGAGCTAGCACAGTCCAGAGTCTCCATCTGTTGACAGGCATTCTGATCAAAATGGAGTCCTTGGGTCAAAAGTTCACTGCCTCCATTTTGAACAGTTTTAACTGAACTGTTTTAGTCCCAGCACCATGTAACCATTGTCGTTCCTCAGTGTTCTGTACCTTGGTACCTTCGGTGGTCTGAACTGTCAGTATCAGTGTCGTCTGGTCAGGGTCGTCCTGGCGCGCTCCTGACAGGACCTCCACTCTGTCGGTGATGATAAACTTTTCTCTGTGTGCGTAACAATCAGTACTCCCTTTATCAGAGTGTTAGACCCTGTGCACTTGGGTCAACACAGGAGATCTCTGAGAGTCCCCGGAAATGACAGATGCAGGCAAGGTTTGAAATCAATTGAGCAAGTTTATTGTCAAATGCGAAGCTCTACCAGTTGGTAACAGAGATCAGTACAATGTTACACCACTGGGCACTGTGGCCCGCGTTGACAAGATACCAACACCAGGCAGGCCTATTGCCATATATCAGATATTAACAGCAGTTAGTCAAAGTTAAGCTACTGTGCATTCTGTAAGTTTAGGCAATGACACCTGCCATTCAGGTGCCTAGTGCGTCCCCCCCCCCCCAGGCAGGCTGGGGGGGCACTTTTTC